TGGCTGAACTTCACTATCAATAGTATGTTTTCAAGCACAGGGTGCCTGTGGAGATCGGGAGACACTCCCGTTTTATCCTTTCAATTGAAATACTGCTTTTACAATTTTTAAAGCTCCTTGACATCTGTCTTGAGACTGTAAATGTGTCCAGGAGTAGTAAGCCTCATCTTTCTCCAATGGAGCTGGTGGTTTCGAACTGCTGACTGTTCAGTTAGCAGCCCAAAGTGTAACCCACTATGTCACTGTGCCTCCCACAGGGGCAGCTCTACTCCGTCCCATATGGTTGCTATGAGTTGGAATGGATTCCATAATGGCAGTGAATTTGGTTTGGTTATGTTTATTACCTCCTTGAATGCTCTTGACAGCCCAGCACGATTAGGAAGGTGCTTTTTCATGCCCAGAGGTCTTGAGACAGGCAGTGGTTTGATCAACCCGAGGACCAGGCTTCTCAAATCATAGTTCTGTGACCTTTGTCTCTCTCTGTCCAGACAGCCTCATACCTGCACGATACATGTGACAGTAATTTACCCTCGTGGTTCGTTTAATCATTCCCAAATCTTGGTAATGGCCTAAAATGTCAGGCTCTTTATCGGCTATCTAACTCTATAAAGCAGAAATCATAATCATACCGACCTCGGGGAGTAGGATTAAGATAATTATGTGTTGGTTTTCCTAGGGCTGCTGTAACAAATTACCACAAACCATGGGGTTTGTGAAAACAGAAATTTATTGCTTCACAGTTTTGAAGGCAGGCAGTCAGTGCAAAACTAGGGTCGATGCTGTCTGAGGGCTCCGGACATGTGCGTTCGGTTTCCTTTCAGTTATAGCGTAGGCGCTCCCTGGCTCTGGCCGCGTAACACCCTTCTCTACTTTGGTCGTGTCTTTCCCCTGTGTCCGTCTGTGCCTCTTTCGGCAACACTGGTCATATTGAATCCGTGCCCCCACCCCCACCCCAGTATGACATCATGCTAACCAATTACACCTTCAGGGATTGTATTTCCAAATAAGGGGATCTTATTTCCAAATTCATAGGTCCCAAGGGTTAGGACTTTAACATATCTTTGGGGTGGGCATACAATTCAATAAGTTATTACACACACACCACGATCATTAGCACATAGTAAGCTTGTGATAAATGTCAGCTGTTGACATTGTCACTGTCAGCCGAGTTAGAGGTACTGTGGCGGGGTGGACAAAATCGTGGGCTTTGGGGTGAGCCCACAGACATATGCCATTGTGTATAAAGTTCCCAGAGGAATGCCCAGCACATAGATGGTTCCCACCCACTCTTGTCAAGTGGATTATGACTCAGAGCAACCCTTCATAGGGTTTCTGAGACTGCAAATACTCTGCCCATATAACAAACATGACAAATATATATATATATATATATATATATATATATATACATATAAAAATATATAGAAAATATATTCCGCCTCTGTAGCAACCCTGTGCAGAGTTTCTGAGCCTGCAAATGTTTACAGGAGCTAACAGTCTCATCCTTTTCCGGAGCAGCAGCTGTAGGGTTTAAACTGCTAAGTTTGCAGTTAGCAGCCTAACGCCTAACCCTGCAGTTCTCAACCTGTGGGTCGCGACCCCTTTGGGGGTCAAACGACTCTTTCATGGGGGTCGCCCGAATCACCACAGTAGCAAAATGACAGTGATGAAGTAGCAACGAAAATAATATTATGGTTGGGGGTCACCACAACCTGAGGAACTGTATGAAAGGGTCCCGGCATTAGGAAGGTTGGGAACCACTGCTCTAACCAGGGCTCCAGCTTGTAGTCACTCCTATTATTTGATAGTGACTTATATATATATGATAATAGTACTTATATACATATGATAGTACTTATATACATAAGTCAGGATTTCTCAAGGTTTCAGGGTCAATGATAGAACTGGACTTTAGCTTTGATCCTCACATCTTCCCACTTAAAAAATAATAATATAAGAGCCTCTTTGGGTTCTGTCCCCTCTGCCCTCCCAATTCCTAAAATAGGCGTGTCCTATCTCTTAGTGCAGCTTGAACAGAAATGCGTTTCTCACAGTTCAGGACATGGGCAGTAGGGGAAGTCTTTCTCTGTGGGCTCTGGTCCTGGTCCTTTCTTCATGGTGGAGGAGCCTCCGTTCCTTGAGGGTCTTCCTGTGGCATGCTACCTATCTTCTCTCGTCTGTGCTTACTTGTTCCTGCGCTTTTCATATCTCAAATGCGATTTTATAGTTCCAAAGTTTAAGGCACTGAAAATCATACTCCCTAAAGGAGTTGGGATTTACAGCACAGATCTGGGTGGTGGTGGTGGGCACAACACAATCCAAGATAATGTTTTACCTCCCCCGTGAAAAACAACAAAATAAAAACCGTCCCTTGCATGTCTCCTTCCATAGCCACGATTCATTCTTTCTTTCCCGAACTGCACTCCATGTATGCCATGCATGCACATTAGTATTTGTGAGGAGTTGCTTTGTGCTTAACCTTGTTTTTCCTTTACTGGATATATTCCGTAATAAACCCACTCGACTTACACCTGTATTCCATTCACTTCCGGTGAATTGACTCAACAGTATCTAGATACTGCTAAACCTCAGTGCACTGCTTTTTGCTGTCAATTATCAACTGGCAGGCACTCCCTCTATTCCTACCCCCACCCCCCACCCCACACACACCTTTGTTATTGACCTGACAAGTTTGGCCAGGTGCTGTCACAAGCATGCTAGTTTCATGACCATATAAAATTGATCTAGAGGCTGTGGATTTCAGCTGCGTGTTTTATATAGGTGTTTTGCATCGTCTCTTGTAAGATCTGAAAAATTAAGTCACAGGTAAGCAGACTACTGCCTTCTCCGTCCCCAAATAGAGAAACGGGACCTGGGGCGGCTATCTGGGCGCAGCGAGTGTCGTGGGTGGTGATGGCGGAGTGTGTGTGTGTGTGTGTGTGCAGTAAGAAAGAACGAAAAGATAAGCAGATCCCACAGCCTCTCGGTTTTCTTCCTTTTTTCCCTCAGGAGGGGGTGGCAGCTGATCAGACACAATAGCTGCACGTCTCCCGCCGGAGTGAAGCTAGAAATGACCCTCAACAGCACCAGCAGGGGAGCTGAGAAACGGAGGGGCTGATGAGGGGCAAGTAGGAGACTGACAAGTTGACGAGCGCCACCGCCTCGGCTGGAGCCCCAGCCCCGCCAGGGTAAGAGAAAGAGCCACCTCCCAGCCTGGAGGCGGGATGCGAAGTGGGAGGGGCGAGGGGTGGGGAGCAGCTTGAGTCAGCGGCTCCCGATTGGTGCTTGCGCTCTCGGCGCGTCTCCCGATTGGACCACTTACAGCGGGAGATAGTGTGAGGCGCGGCGGGGCGGGGCCAGCCGCCCGGGGTCTGACGAGGCCCGGGAGCTGGCGGCGGAGGGCGGCGGCTCTGCTCCGGGCCCGGGGGCCGCGGGGACCCGCGCTGTGGAGAGTCCGGCCGCCTCTCCTCACTTGAGCCAGCCGCGCCACCCCTTCAGCGGCTCAGGAGCTTTATCAAGAGGAAAGACTCGACTCCGTATCGCGTCGCGCCGGCGACCACCCTTTGCGCCCCCCAGACGGGGGAAGATCCTGTGCTGTCCGGAGAGAAAGGACACTCCCTTATCTGAAGTCCCACACCGCCTCGCAGCCCCCCACCCCCGAGTCCCGCTGCGAGTGAGAGGCAAACATGGACGAAGGCACTGCCTCCTCCTTCGGGACCTTTGATTCCTCGGTTTTGCTTACCCAACTCTAATTGTTCCTCACACTCCGCCCCGGAGGAGCCCTCGTGGCGCAGCGGTTAAGCGCTGGCTGCTAACCAAAAGGTCGGGCAGTTTGGACCCACCCGTCGCCCAGGGGAAGGAGGTGGCCGTCGGCTCGGGGCAGACCGATGTGCCGGCTAGGGTCGCTGTGAGTGGGAAGGCACCCGAAAGCAGCGGGGGACGCTCCGCCCCTGACAACCGTGCGCCCACAGCCTCTCCCCTCGTCGAGCGGAGCCCGCTGCCCAGCCGCTCCCGCTCCACGCCGGGGAGCCCGAGAAAGGCGGGGACGGTCGTGTGCGCGCCCGCTTGTTGCCCAGGAGGCGGGGGGCGGGGGTGGGCTGAGCGGCTGGGTGGGGTGGGGGCTGTGGGCTCGGAGACACGCCGGGAGAGGTCGGCGGGCGCACACGCACCCCGGGCGAATCCCCTTCCCGGGGTCGGTTCCTGGGGAGCGGATTCTTGCAGGCAGAAACGCCCCAGCCCCAGAGCCTCCCCTGGGGAGGGGAGGGGACGGAGGTGGAGTGGGAGGAGGTGGATCCAGGGAGGAAGGAGCGAGAAATCCGCCCCCGGCAAACAGCTCGGCGCAGCGGCGCGGCCAGGCGCGGCTGTCACTTGGCGGTC